TCAGATCGGCAAAAAATATATATTTTTGGTGTGCCACGGAATTTTAGTAATTACTTTGTGTGCCATGAGATGAAAAAGACTGAAAATCTGTGTTCTACATAATAGGTATCTCACAATGGCAGTCAAATATTCTATGTCATCTCTTGTTCAGTGGAAAGTAATATTACCATGTTCCTGCAATGGCAAGTGGAATACACTGTCCTAATTGGACACATTTAAAGTTCTCTAAATCACTTTCTGACTGTACCTCATTCTCACATCTCCCACGGAGTCACATTTTGTGTAGCTCTACCATGCTTCCTCCCAGGTTCTCAGAATGTCTGTAATTGCCTTACACCTAGTTAACAACAGCATTTTTTATGATACACTGTCTGAGAAGCTCACTGACACTGAGTTCCATCTTGACATGCAATGCTATTCTAATTATTATTTCTTTTCACCTTAATTAAGACCACATGTGACCTCGCACTGCAATGAGCGCCCCAGCGGTGTCATACGACCCGCAGCTTCCTCTGAGTCGGAGAGCCCAGTCTGTGTTTGGAGAGCAAAGAAAACAAAACTCAAGGAACATCTGTTCAAAAGAAAAATTTTTTTTGCATGTAAACAGGAAAATCAGATATTATCCAGTAGCAACCAGAGAGTGATGACACATGAGGGTCACATCCAAGAAGAAACCTAAGACAAAAAAGTCTCATAAAGAAAATGTCCTTAGAAATACAAGGCACAAAAATAATATTACAACAGGAAAAAAGTATATTCCTTTAAAACCTTCTGCTGAATTAACCAATTCGACTATAGCAATTGACACACATAATTTGGACAATCATAATAAAAATCTGCAGTTGTTACCAATTAAAGATGAGCCCCAAGGTCAATGTATGACATTAACCCAAGCGTTTCACATTAAAACAATAATAAAAAGAAACAAGTAACCACAGGAAACTAAAGCAAGGTGCTAACATGCTCAAGAACCCTGTGCTTGTGGCCAAATTGTTCAATGTGAGTTCAATTCATATAGAAAACCACAATAATACCCATAGTACACTGGGCTCCCTGAAACAAGGCATCAGTGGAACCTCTGCCGATGTTACAAGTTCGGAAAGGGTCTCATGAGAAAGAATTACTACAATTAAATAGTTTTCTTTAGCGTCAAACCCAGCTCTTCTCAGGAAGTAAAAAGAAATAAGAAAATATCAAGGAGCATCACATCTGAAATCACAGCCAGGCCTGCCTCATTTTCTAACACCAAACTGATAGAAAAGTCAAAATCCAAAGACCAGCGTGGACATACTATAGCAAAAGCAAGTATCGATAGATGAGATACCTATTGTGTAGATGGGTTCATCCCAAAGAAACTGCAAAGAAAGAAAAGCTCATCTGAGTGAGTGGAGAGCTAGCAAAGGAAGAATGCTAAAAATCCTCCTAGCTCAGTAGTTCCCCAGCCTGAACCGGAAATGAAAAATCAGTTGGGTCCTTTGGACTACCACGTCAGAAGATGAACACCGACTATTTCCTGGAAAAGTAAACAAGACATTTTGTGAAGGCCTAAAGCTGATTAATGAGGGATGCCCCAAAGAAGAAATGTTGGACACACTGAATGAGCCGATTAAAAATATTTCAGATGCCAAAAAAAGCTTGCTAAATATTGGGTATGCACGTGTTGAAGCACTTACAAGTTCTATTGGAAATATTATCGCAATCTATGAGAAGGCCATTCTGGCAAGAGCTCGGCCTACTGAAGAAATGCAACATGCAACTGGAGATACTCTAACAATGAAGAGTCAAGAAAAAGTTACATTTGGAGAAAATTTTGAGGAGACTTGTTCAACCGAAGAACAAATCTAAAGCCAGGAAAACCTGAAATGGAAAATAAACATCATAGAAATGTGGTATTTCAAGATTGCGAAAAAGAGCAAGATAACCAATGATGTTAAAACCTCCAATGCAGAAACTAGGGAGAGTTGCTTAATTAAATAGAATATGTCTACTACACCATTCTTGCAAAATGTAAAAAAAGAAAATGCAGTTGGACAAAACAAATTCTACATTTAAAGAGCTACAGTTTCTGACACCAGTTAGACATTTTCAACGTTTTCAAGACAAGACTTCTAAATTGCCAGATATGTTAAAAGACCATTATCCTTGTGTGTGTTCACTGGAACAGTTAACAGAGTTGGGAGATGAGACTGATGCGCTTATATACGACCCTAATGCAGCGCTGTGCCAGATGTATTTGGAGACTGAAACAACAGAAGAGAAATAAAGCTATGATAAGAAAGAAGGTTTTTATTATTCCTGGGGTGTTTTGTTTGTTTGTTGTGGCTTCATATGTCTCTTAGGTCAGAAGTTGGCCAAGGACCTAAGTATTCGTGGCAGTAAGCTTTTTTTTTTTTTAAACTAACGTTCACATAATAGCAGGTGTTGCCTTCTGTGTGACAAAAAGCTAAATCCTACCTACATTGTCTATCTCAACAGATTAAGATTTTCCCTAGTAGGTAGGTAAATTTTGTCAACTAATTTACCATCTTCCTTGAATACAGTTAAATGTCATTCTAGTTTCGGTGGTTTGTTTCTAAGATAATTAATACTTAAACTTGCTTTGTAATATAAAAACTTAACTGTTAAATCATGTTTCCTGAAACATGATAGTTATATATTGTAAACAGTTCTTTTCTTCACACATAATAAGTACCACCAATAAAATTGTTTATGTCTTTGAACTGATACTTAGGTGGCATATATCCTCAATCAACTCTATGTTTTCAAATAAGTAATTTGTCATTGTAAGAGATTAGATCATTTTAAAACTGTGTAATATGAATGTGGTTGAAAATCACATATACCATTTACATTCATATATTCCATTTGTATAACAGTACCTTCCATTGTTTTCCCATGTTCTAGAGAATGGGATTATAATTCCTTTTTCAACTATGACTAATATGTAAATAATAAATTGAAATATCTACAATAAAAAAAGACTATACACTTCCAATGAAAGGCTTTCTTGTTGAAAAATATTTATAAGGACTAACACACATACGCAGTGTAAAATAATATTACAATAAATAAAAATAATAAGTATTTGAAACATATGGGCCACAAATCAAGAACTTCATGGTGAAGTTTGCTATTTGATTGATCTGTAAATAGAGATAAGGTAACAACACACAAAGATAAGTCCTATTTTAAAGTGTGTCTTTCATGTTCAGGCCACTCAGCTAAGCATGTGCTTAAGAAGTTATTTGGATCTTTATCCTATGTCTTCAATTTTATTTGAAGAGGTAATTAACAAAATCTTGGTGAATAAGAATATATATTATAGGCAAAATCAATATAGGTCCTTTATTTCTTTTTTTTCTTTATAGATATGTTTTTAGGAAAATAGTGGAAAGTTGATAAATACTTGGGGAGGGTGGTGTGGTGTGGTGTGGTGTGGTGTGGTGTGGTGTGGGAACAAGACCATATTCTATGAAGATTGCTAAATGATGTTGATACTATTATTTTACCTCAGCTGTCTACTTTTTTAGTTCTTTAAATTATGTTATATTTATTTCATGGTTAGAAAACATAAACTATAGTCAATTCCTGAAAATTTTTGTACATTCTAATGTTGTGAAGGATACGCTTAATGGGTATAGATATTATTTCAGATTAGCCATTTAGAAATATTACCACAGAATAATTGATACTGATTAATAATTATAATAAAATATATCATAATAATTACTAATGAACTTGGGCCATTGACTGCCTAGGTCCAGATTTTGGTTCTATCTCTTACTATCTTTGTGAACTTGAGCAAGCTACTTAACTTCTCTGTGCCTAGTTTTCTAATCTTAAAATGAGATAGTAGCACTTTCCTAAAAGGATTTTATGAGGCTTAAATATGTTCACATATATAAATCTCCCAGCAAAGTTCCTGGTACATAGCAAGCACTACATGTTTTTTGTTTGTTTGTGGTTATTATTATTATTTGACAATGCATTTATAAGAGCAAAGATTCCCTAGCCAGACTGCTTGGATTCTAATCTTGGTGCCAATAATTTCTGTTTTTGGGACCTTGGGCAAATTCCTTAATTTCTATGAGCCTCAGTTTCCTCATCTGGAAAGTGAGATAATACCTACCTCATAGAGATGTTATGAGGATTAATTTACTCCAAACATGTGAAAGTCTTAGAACAGCACATGGCACATGCTCAACATTATACAGTGCTTACGATTTTGGCTATCACTGTATTTAGAAATAGGGGGTCCATATTGATCATATTGTTTTATATCTTGCTCTGATTTTGCTTTGTTTTTAAATTCTCTAACCTTCAGTGGCAAAGACTATGCTTTTTCATTCTAATATTTTCAGGGGGAAGCTATCTGGTGCCAATCACTTTATTTACCTTCTCTTCTGTAGAAAGAAAACAAAACCAAACAAAAAAACTACCTTTAATCTATGGTCATTCTTGCTAACCAACAAAACAACTACTTTATACTACGTGGATATACCAGCATTTTGTTCCTAGGCTCACAGCTGAGCAGGATGCTGCTCCCTAGTTTTTTCTGTTTATAATAGTGCTGTCGGTATCAATTATGACTTGAAATGCTCAAGCCCCCCAGGAAGAGTGTTAATTATTGCTGCTCTGTGTCAACAAAATGAAAATTGGAGCTATAAGGCTCATCTCCCCATACCAGTAAACTCTTCATCTTGCCCCCTTCTTCCCTCACCACTGCCTCATCCAGAACATAATTGGGCAAAAAAATAAAATAACAAAGAGAAAAAGACTGTTTCAACAACATATTACCTTGAATTGGTTGCCAAAAATCCTGAGTGCTCAGTGTAGGGTGACAAGAAATGCAGATAATTTCATGAGAGAATTTAACACAAGTAACTAATAATATTGTGAATTTTTCTACCAATAACACAATTCACTTTATAATCCAAAATTAATTAAATGCAATTATTTTGCACTTTATAGATCATTTAAAACATGGAAGTACTTCATACCTTTGTTTATATCAATGAGCTGTTTCTTTTTCTTCTGGCGTTCCAGCTTTTCTTGTTCGGCTTTCTCTTTTGCAAGCTTTGCCCTCCTAGTCTTCTCTTCCATTTCTTTTCTCTTGTTATTTTCTTTTACTGCTTCCTGTACATTTTAAAAAAGTTAAACAAAAATCCTTTCATTACTTATATATATTGGAGAAGTTTTACCATTTTATAATTACATATTCACACATGCCATGGGTGTCCAGAGATGGAAAAGTATTACAGTAGCTTCAAGCTACATCCTATATAATAAAAGAGTAATATGCAAATTGACCCTAACAGCAGAACTGGGAATGATGACTGGTCACTATGACACACACTGACCACCAGGGGGCAGACGCTCAATGCAGGAGCTGCCCCCTGGTAGTCAGTGCGCTCCCACAGGGGGAGCTCTGCTCAGCCACAAGCCAGGCTGATGGCTGCCAACACAGTGGTGGTGGCGGGAGCCTCTCCTGCCTCCTCAGCAGCGCTAAGGATGTCCAACTGCACCTTAGGCCTGCTCCCCGCTGGCAAGTGGACATTCCCCGAGAGCTCCCGGGCTGCCAGAGGGATGTCTGACTGCCAGCTTAGTTGCGATCCCCCGGGGAGTGGGCCTAAGCCAGCAAGTGGACATCCCCCAAGGGGTCCCAGACTGCAAGAGGGCACAGGCCAGACTGAGGGACCCTCCTGAGTGCACAAATTTTTGTGCACCGGGCCGCTAGTATGTATATAATCTTCAAGAACCAATAACTGTAAGACATTGAAAAAATTAGAAATAACTCAGGCTTTAATTAACATTACCTAGGGTGCCAGAAAATTCAGGACATGAATGTTTACAGACTTAATAATAAACATACTTTCTCTGTTGTTGAAATAAGAAACAGTTTTGGTATACAAGAAAATGTTTAATATGGAAATATGGTTTAGCAAGTATTTTACAACATTATTGTACCTTATGCTCTTATCTGCAAAGTGAGGATTAAAAAAAACTACCTCATAAGATTTTTGTGACAAAAAATGAGATACACTTATACAGTGCTTAGAATACTGAGTCTATGATGATAACAGCGGTGGTGGTTGTGGTGGTAACAATTATATCTAATGGTGCAAAGCATGAAATAATCATCCATATTATCACAAGAAAGAAATACCTGCAAGTTTAATAGCTTTTTACATGCCAATATCTTCATAAATGCTGCAACATATTTCAAGATATTGTCTATTTTATTTTAGATAGATTATTTATGGAACTCAGGTGAATCAGGACATTCCAGTAGATAGTATGGGATAAAGTTGAAGTGAACTGATCAGCTGAATAACAATATTAACTTCCTTTGAGGTCGAAGAATTCACTAATACAGAGACATATGAACTGCACATTTCTCCCATCAAGCTGTTCTGTTTCTTTTTTCCCATTATGATTGATTAAATATACTTCATAGTATGTACCAACTATTTCACAAAAACTATTTTGTTCCAGAAACCCTAAAGAAAAGGACTCAATAACAAGAACACATCTACAAGACTTTGCCTGGAGGTGTCTGTATCGAAATATTTCTCTTCATATTAGAAGGCACAATAGTTTTTAAAAGCCCTGAAAACACTTTCAAAAAGATCTCCTGACTTGCAAGAATTATTGGTACCTCTCCCTTCCACTGCCCCCATAAGGCTGGGACCTCTAGCATTAGGTTAGAGCACAAAATGCTCTGGCTCCTGCAGACAGCCTCAAAGATCCCCACTGAAAAGAAGCTGGAATAACAGAAATAGAATTTTAGAGCAGGGCTTCTCAACCTCAGCACTACTGTCATTTTGGTCTGGATGATTCTTTGTTGGAAGAGCCATCCTGTGCATTGTAACATGTTTATGGAACCCCTGACCTCTACTCACTAGATGCCAGTAGCAACCATCCCCAGCTGTGACAACCAAAAATGTCTTCAGAGACTGCCACATGTAATCCAGGTTGAGAACTACTAACCTAGGGGTTTTCATACAGATAACATACTCACAAAAAGTTACAAAGTGCCTGCTCTGCTGAACCCAGCTTCTTCTCACAGATGTGGAACTGAGTTCCCAATGAGTTTAAGCACTTGCCTAAGCTCACACATTTCTGTAATTGCAGAGGTGAGAATAGAGCTCGTGTCTCTTTATTCCTAGTTTAGTGTGTGTTTTATTCTTCAAGCAAGAAAAGATAATGTGATATGATACCAAAAGCACAAGCAACCAAAGGAAAAAATAGGTAAGACTTGATCAAAACTAAAAATTTTCATCCATCAAAGGACACTGTCAAGAAAGTGAAGAGATAACCCACGGAATGGGAGAAAATATTTGCAAATCATCTTTCTGATGAGAATATATAAAAAAAACTCTTACAACTCAACAACAAGAAGACAAATAACCCAATTAAAAACGGGCAAAGGATTTGAATAGATCTTCTTGGAAAGAAAATATACGTACAGCCAACAAGTACATCAAAAGGTGTTTGAGGTAATTAATCACTAGGAAATGGCAAACCAAAATCACAATGAGGTACCACTTCACACCCACTAGGACAGCTGAAATAATAATATAATAGCAAGTGAGGATGTGGAGAAATGTGTAAATGCAAAATAATGAGCCATTTTGGAAAACAGTTGCTTAAAATGTTAAACAAAGAGTTATAATCTATCCCAGCAATTCCACTCCTAGATATAGACCTAAGGGGAAAAACCAAAACCAAAACACATAATCATACCAAAACTTGTACAAGAATGTTCATGGCAGCATTATTCCTAATAGTCACTAAGTGAAAACAACCCAAGTGTCCATCAACTGATAAATGGATAAAGAAGATGTGTTAAATAGCCATACAATAAAATATTATCTATATATATAAAAGGCTAATATGCAAATTGTCCCCTCAGGAGTTTGACTGGGGAGAATGGGAGTTCAATCGCTTGCTATGACACGCACTGACCACGAGGGGGCAGCACAGAATGAAGAAAGGCCCTGGCTGGCAGCCAGCAGCCAGGGAAGGAAGGCCTTGGCCTGCAGCTGGAAGGCCCTGATCAGCCCTGATCATTGGCCAGGCCTAGGGATCCTACCCGTGCACGAATTTCATGCACCAGGCCTCTAGTTCAATCATAAAAAGAATGAAGTGCTGACACATGCTGCAACATGGATGAACCTTAAAATATCATGCTAAGTAAAGGAAGTCAGACACAAAAGGCCACATGTGGCATGATTCCATTTATAAGTACTATCCAGAACAGTTAAAGCCATAGAAACAGAAATTAGATTAGTGGTTGCCAGAGGCTGGGAGAGGGGGAAATGTGGAGTAGCTACTACTGAGTATGGGTTCTTTTGGGTTAATGACAATGTTCTGGAACTAGACAGTGGTGTTGGTTGCACAACCTTGTGAATATATTAAAAACTACTGAATTGTATACTTCAAAATGCTGCATTTTATATGTAAATTAGATCTCAATAAAATTTTACAAAATTGATGTTTGAGAAAGATAGGACTGAAATAAAAATGTGAATTAGTTAAAAAAAGACAATGTGAAAAGGCAACGTATATTCAGGCTGATACTAATAAGTTATGCGACCTTTGGTAAGTAGCATAACAGGCAAGTAATAGAGGAGCAGAGGAAGGTTAATGCTTGTGTATATTTTATTATTGGTCAAATCTCTGATCTGGTATATAGTCACCAACATCTAGGTGGACTCTTCTATTATTAATTGAATGAGCTGTTTAACTGAGTGCTGTTATTTATTATGAAGCTAAAAAAACAAACAAAAAACTGGTAACTTCCATTTGTATTTCTTCCTTGTTCTGATAATAACAGCTACTTTTTCATGACACTCTATTATGTTCCAGGTGTTATAAATAAATATTTTCTAGTCTTTATAGAAAATCTGCAAATATCTATTATTTTCTCTCATTTTACAGATGATGAAACTTAGGTTCAGGTGGGTTAAGTGAGATGCCCAAGGCTACCCAGTTACTTAAGTAACAAAAACCACATGTGTTCACTTACACTACCATGATACCTTCCAAGCAGAGTTGCCAAATAAAATACAGGACACTCAGTTAAATTTTACTTTCAGGTAAACTATGAATTATCTTTTTGGTCTAAGTATATTCCATACTATACTTAAGCTATACTTACAAAATTAATGTAATGTTTGGGACTCATTGGTAGGAAAATTATTCATTATGCATATAATATTTGGGATATACTTATACTAAAACAATCATGTAATATTTGGGACACCTTGGTACTGAAGATATTCATGGTTTATCTGAAATTCAAATTCAAATGGGCATCTATTTTTATTTGATAAATCTGGCAATTCTATTCCCAAGACTGTTGATTTTTTTATAGGTATCCTTTCACAGACTAAGATCCTCTAATGAAAACAGTGGACTCATTATAAAAATACAAAAGCCCAAATCTAAGCCATATTTTGAGAACAGAAGTACTGATGTAGATTACTGATAGGCATTCCAAGGTTCATGGACATGAATCATACTATTTCTGTAGCATTCTCGATATACTCCTTTCCTTTTTATTTCTTGAAAATGGAGTAAAACTAAAAAATTGTTTATATCTAAATTGACACAATTGGGGTAGAAGGAAATAAGTCAACATCAAAAGACTCGCTAATGAAGAAATCTGGCAGATGTGAATAGATTAAATTTCTATATAAAATGGAGGCTTGCAACTGGCACTATGAAACAACATAAATATAGATATAGTCAATGATGACACAGACCAAGTAATAGGTTCTTTAGTTTACATCTTAAATGTTTCAGAAATAGATTGAACTACAAAACGAGCACATGCTTTGAAATGGCCTGTGTGATTCTAAAGAGATCAAAACAGCAGAGGAAAATAATTTCTGTGGTTTGGCAGTAATGAAAAGGAATGGAAGCATCTACAGAGACATATATTTTTTCAAGCCACACAGACTGTGAAGTATAATTCTGGTCCTGATGCCACCAGTTCTGTCTTCATGAAGCGGCCTCATGCTGAAAAGAAGACCCTATTCCTCTTGATGTTTTTATACTTTAGCTCTGACTTTAACAACTTAGGGGTGGGAAACACAGGCCTGTTTAATTCTCTCTCTTTAAGAAAAAAT